TCTAGAGATGAATGAGATGACTTGGAGAGGACTGAGGAAAAAAGAAGAAGGCTAGCAGCGAGCGAATTGAATTTTCCATTAGTAGGCAGAGCAGTAGGGTCATTTTTTTCAGATTTCTGAAATGATTTAACATTATTCAAATTGTGCAACGATTTCAGCACTCCTCAAGTGAAGTTTGAGCAAAACGCACCTACTAAACCCTTTTTTCATCGATGATGGGCTAAAGAAGGCGATAAGATAAGTGCCTTGAACCGAAGATCCTGAAAGTGGCTATGTTTGTTCACTACTCTTTTGCAGTCCAAAATAGGTGAAGGCGACGCTCGCGAATCAAAAGATTGGGACGGCAGGGACGACCTCACGGTTTCCACAACGAATGAAAATTAAATCTGCACAGCACCCAAATAAAGGGGCTGATCAGTGTTGACTGCAAGTGACCTACAGTCGTCATCCGGGCAGTTGATTAGGCAGCCAAAGGTCGCGACGCGGCTGCGGCTCGTCACGACCGCGGCGATCAACTGTTTCCAGCCTGGTTTAGCCATTTTCTCCCTAATTTTCACTGTATTTTCTATTTTTTCAAGGTAAGTTGTGTTATTGCCTTTATGAAGTGTATCAGGACGTGGATTCTTTTTTGTTATTGTAATGAAGTGTTTTTGCGATTTTTTAGGTATTTGTTTTTTGTTTATTATTCGCAAAAATTAGAGAAATCCCAATCTGTCTTACTCTACCTCATGAAGACAAGGAACAACTAACTCCAAGAAAAGCAGCCAAAAACAGTGAAAACTAGGGAGAAAATGGCTAGGCTGGAAATAGCTGATTGCCAGGCTGGAAACAGCTGATCGCCGCGGTCGTGACGCGCCGCAGACGCGTCGCGACCCTTTGGCCGCCTAGTAAAGTACCCGGATGACTACTGTATCTTTGAAAAATGCAAAAAGGCTGCTTCTGAACAGAATAGCAACACAACAAACACCATAGAACTAGCAATGGGCACCCTCTCGCACTCCTCCCCCGGCCCACCCCCACTCACATACGAAATGATGATATAAGCCGATGCTAGCGCACGATACTCTCGTGCTTTTCCAGTTTCATCCCTTTGACATGTGTTTTTTGGCCTTGTCTATGCTTCTATTCTCTATCAAGCACCAATCGGAATTCTAAACAAACTCCTTTTTTTCTACAAAACGCTAAGAGTCGATGCAGTTACCTTCCTGAAAGACGGTTCGTTCCTTTTTTTTTAGAATAGAAAAAACTCTCTTATAGGTGCTGTGAACATAGCTGGAGAAACGAAACAGCAGCAAGGCCAAAACCACATGTCAGAACAGTGAAATCGAGAAATCATCAGATCAATGCTGCCCACTATCAGCGTATATCATCGCCGTGTGCGTGTGGAGGGGGGGGGGGTGAGTTAGTATCTAATCCTTTCCCCACTCCCTCACAACCACCTGGCAATTAAATCTTGGATAGGAGGTGAAACGGGGAATATACGGAGGCACACCTTTGATGGGTCAGGATTGTACGAATAGGTCTTATTCGAGTGTTAAAAAATTGTGTCACCTTCATACCTTATACAGATTAGCGTTAGTCTCGAAAAGTTTGCTTAGATCTTCAATTTCACATCCTGGAAACAGCAGACACGCTTAGGTGGATGTTTCCGAAATTGTATGACGCAGAAACAAATTATTTATTTCATGCTCAATGTACCCTTACTTCTTTGGAATACGTTTCGAAGGTAACTTCATGAGCACTGACTTTGAACTTCACAACATCCCCACTCGCGTCCTACAGCTTTATCAATCTCCTTTATATCGTTTTGCATAGAGTTGTAGAAATACGTGTGTCTGAGGTACTGAGACAGTAGTGGGTCTCAGTCACAGTTGACCTGTGATCAGAGGCAGAAAGTAGCACCATTTTTTGAGGGCTGAATATGGAGGATTTCCTTGCCATCATTAAGAGCGAAGCCGAATGTCGTTTGATTGATGACGTTTCCGTCAGTATCCTGTGAAAAACGATGATGGAATGTACCTTTTTGATTGATGGCAGTTATATAAGGTGCAGCTGGAGGAATGATTTCTGTGGTCTACACAGATGGGAGAAGTCGCCCTCGATAAAACTAGAACCTCGGAAGATTCAGACTCGAACGTTCATGAACACCCTAATCATAAACGTACCTGTATTTCCAGCCTGTTTCACAGCAGGTAATGGATGCTCCAAAGTAACCTGCCTTGAAAAACTATGTCTGGTGAAGGAAAAACAGATTTAAGACTGGTTCTGGCATCAGTTCACCAACGAAACGTCATTACGAAACGTGCGATCATTTCGTCAGACTGTCTCGTTTTTTTGCACATATTTTCCTTCGAAGTGGGGAGCAATTCAGGCGTAAAGATATTCATTGTGGGCGTTGAGATAGAGGATAAAAGAGAAGTGATCCCCGACGTTGATCCAATACGTTTCTGGATGCGACATTGCATTCTACTTTTAACACTCTAGATTTGTGAAAATCTTATTGAAGTACAATGGTGGCCTATGTTTTGCGACAACAGCGCACTCAATGAGCAGCGCCTGTTTGCTTTGGTCAACTGTGCAGGTCAGAGTTCCGATCTTCCCAGACAAATCTGGAACAAATGTTAGCGACGTTCTCCAAGAAGGTGAAAGAGCTTGATATCGTAGAGGGCGGGGAGCCAACGGCAAAGGAATGGATCCCCCAGACAGCGGCGTGATTAGGCTTTGCCCCTTGGCGCACACCAACCGTAAACCACCTCCGCCTTCAGGTCAAACGAAGGAACGCACAGACGAAATAAATCAGGGCGCACTGTTCGGCACCACTGCTGTGTCTTCTAGGTTAGAAGTAGATCTTGCTGAAATGCGAATTTTCCACGAAATCAAGACCTAGGCATGCTTTCCAAGCACACTTCTGTATTGATTTCAGTATCCTCCCAAAAAAAGGGACCTGGCTGTCCGGATTATGAGCTGAACCAGGGTTTTCCAAACATATCCGAAAGGTTTCTGGAATCTCCTTCCTCCGTTTCTCCAGGTTGTAAAGAGCATTCGGTTCAGAAAATATCACAAGTATTTGACTAGAACTTTGAACGGCCCACGCTGACAATCATTATCTATGCTAGAGCCAGCTACCCGATCGAAGAAGGGAAAAAAGGTGAGAGTTGAACTTTTCGCCAACGTCAATGAGATAAGCTTAGCCTATGCACTACCGTCTACCGTTAATCATAAATTTATTGACTAACATTCTACATTTTTCTATCAATAACGCGAATTTTGTATGGCACTGGTGCTCTAAGGGCGGAGATTTGCGTTTCCAGAGCAGGTGGATAGAGTCCTTCTGGCTCAAATCGGAATTTTTGCATTAACGACGTAAAGAACATGAACATCTGAAGAAAACAGAATTAGATATTCTACTCAGAGAAGTTCAGTGGAACAACTCTTACCTCCATTCTAGCGAGGTTTTCACCGAGACATGCCCTTTTCCCTACCGAAAATGGTGTGATGCGATCGTCTCTGATGAACTGACCGTGCTAGAGAAATAGAGTAGTAGTAGTTGACGAATCGAGATGTTGGCAGTTCTGTTTTTTTAAGTATTAGACTCTATTTTTTGTAGCACTGACCATCAGTAGGGTTACTGAGCTGACAGATGGCATAAAGTAATAAGCCTACAGAGGATTATTTTCACCAGTCTGTTCAGTAGTGCGCTTCTATTCTGGCAATGCTCGTTCGCAAGAAACAAGTTTATGTTGGACAGTCTCGCTTATGAAAAATATTGAATAATTGAAGGAAATTGCTTCGGAGTTCATGAGCAAGGCACACGGAGGCGAGCTCACTCCACCCCTTCTGACAACGCCCTGGCTGATTGCAAGGTTATTACTATGTGTGCAGTCATGAGCCCTGCAAAGGATAGGGCGTGTGAGGGGCCTGGATTGGAACGCTGCCAAATCGGTCTTTGATGCCATCCTGAGTTCTCAACAAACTGGGGGAAAGGGCTGTTGTGGCTGCGATTCAACTCACGCTCCTTCACAAGCCCTATCGCTTGCAGCGATCATGACTGTGAATGGATGCGTCTCATGCTCCAGAAAATGTGGTAATTCTGAAGGAAGAATTAATCTAACCTTGAGATGTCGCTCTGGAATAACCAGCTCAGGCCTGGGATAGATAGTTTCGTCCATGTGAACAGAAGGAAATTGTGGAATAACTCTAGTCCCACATCGAAGTTTGTATCCTAAATACTTTGGATACAAAAAATTCGGGTAATCATGGCATGAAAGCTCTGAACAAACCACCTTCACAATTCACATCCTTCAACGTGACCCGTGGAAAATTCACATGGAGCACATATCCCGCCCGATAGATTTCTTGTAGGAAAGCACAGGTGTACGGCAGGAACTTTTGGTCTTCCATCGTCACATCCTGCAGAATGAAAACCTCAGGTTTTCTACTTTCACATAATCTACCGTACACTTTGGCAACGAAGTTGAAAAGAAAAGGTGCGAAAAAAAGTGTCCATTGCCATTCACATGATCCGCGGATCGCGTCCTGACTCATCCAACCCGAGGCTGATGTCCCCAAAAATCGTGAGTTGGAGCATGGGTTATCACGTTGATCGAAAGACCTGACCATCCATCGACTCCCAGTCGGCAGGTAAGTTATGAAGCACACCATTTCGGGCACATTTGGTCATCAAACCCCTCCGAGCTTCACTCCCGACTCCCTGAGCCAAACAGTGTTCCATTTTGAGTGAATGTAGATGGCGACGAACTTTTTCAAGGGAATGCTTTAGACCACCGATTTTTGTCTTCATGGTGCAGTACATATTTAATGCTCAGAAGCATCCCAAACTCACTTTTTCCGGACCAATGGTGTCGTCGACTTCTTTGTGAATTTTCTGCTGAAGATGCGGATAGTTCAACAAATATAGGAAACAAAACCTCAGCGCAACAACCACCGTTTCCATGCCAGCGGTATAGAGGTCATAAATCGCAGTCACGCATTTGTTTCTCTGTGAATTCGTCTGAAACACCCCTCGAATAAAATCTCGGACCAGAATGGAAAAACAGCAAGTTTGAGGACCGAATTGCAGGTCGCTTGCCCAGGTTGGAAGGATGATTTGAAGCACAGAAGCCGTGACAGTAATAAATAATAACTCCTTCATTCTGCAGACGAAAAAAATGCATTTTCCTTCCCACCGAGACAAGGTCAGTACTGGTCAGGAGGTCTGAGTGGTTGCTAACTCTATAATCCACAGCTCATGACAAAACCGCAAGTACACGTGCACATTTGCCACTGCCCCCCCCCCAGCGTTCATGTTTGACAGGCCGTGCGGAAGAGGTCTGCCTCCAGAGAGATCAGTCGGTATTGGCCACTTTCGCATTAGAGCGATCCTGCTTAGAAGTTTTTTGCTTCAGGACAAGGTGGTGGCTTCTGACTGAAATTTGGCTAGTCGTTCGCACGCGTGACATCCACGTGTACGAGCCGAGGTCAAGCACTACCTTTGCACAAACTAAAATCATGACCCCAGAAGAGGTTTTTGCTGGCTCAAGTGGGTCTCAATTGAGCAGCAAAGCCGCTCAGAATAGACACCGCGACACCGTATCCGCCTCATGGCAACCTCAGTCCAATTTGAATAATTGGACATTTCCCATTCATTTGGGAGGAATACCACTAGATATGAATCGGAAAGATAGTGAGCACCTCCTATTTCCCCACAAAACTGTGGTGTCTTTCTTATCGAATCTCTCTGTGGTGGCTTTTATGGTGGAACTGTGTCTAGACATGAGCGCAAAATATAATACTTCGACGTGAAAGGGTGGAGCTCTGTGTTCGTCTAGAAAGTTTCAATTACATGGACCTTGCGCGCATTGACAGCGCCTGCTGGGCTTTTTTGTTATATCCGCCTTGCAGTTCTCCGCTCTGCAGTAAATAAAAATATGTAAAAAATGAGTGCTTGCGGCTGCACCAGGGAAATTTTAGATCAAGCTTTTCTGACTTCCTTACCTTGTATACCTTCTTTCTCTCTACGATGCAGCTCATGGATGTAGGCATCGAGATAATTAGTTGGTTCCTGATCATAGTTGATTGTCCTCTTGTGCTCTTCGAACTCCTTCATTAGATTCTTTCTTCAATGTCTTATTATTGATCAGTTTCAAAAGAGGTGAACGGTGATTGTATTAATATAGTATTAACTACGTACAACTAACCGTATACTTCTCATATGTTGCGTTAAGCCTTTGATCTGCACTGCTCGAAACCTTACAGTGCGGTACAAACCTTCCTTATCAAGTTGACTATGGAGTCGCTTCCACGCTTTGTTGATCTGATCCCTAGTCCCAAAAGCGAATCGAAATGTCGCAAGCATGGCATAGAATCCAATAGCAATATCTTCGGGTCGTTGAAGCATTTCCCTACCTTAATGTTGCTCACTTCTGCCAAGTACTCAATGAACTTATTCTCGTAGTCATTGCTTATAGTTTTCAGAAACACGTGCAAGAAAAAGAAAGAAAGAAAAAAGGAGAAAGAAGAAAAGAGAAAAGGATTGCACGATACAAACACGACCGCTACGGCCTACAATATCGGGGGGGGGGGACCATGCATGCCCAACCACTTCATTACTCTAGGAAAAGTTACCTGCTACCACTCCTAATTGGAGAATGGATGCTACTCAGGATTTTTACGCGCTTTCCTCATAAGTAAAATGGCCTGTACGACAAGAAATCAAAGAGACGACTCCCCATGGCACTTTCCGGGGGACTGATTTAGAGCTAGAAATTTCGGTTGAAAGCTATTACAAGGGAGAGAATAGGGAAGTGTCTACTTTGATAGCTCAAAGAGTAAAACTTCCGACGTACCAACCCCTTCCCTAGCGGCCCAGTTTTCACTTATCTTCAAAATCGTAGTGCTCTATTGAATGCGATATGCCCCATAGGATACTTTCGGGATCCAACCGATATATAGGTTAAGTTTCTGGTCTCCCACGCAAATCTGGTACCAGTTCGCCTGCCCAGGAGCGAGTGAGGGTATGATTTACCAGGAATGGATCTTGAATTCGATTCTCGCACTGCGCACGTGGAAAACGGCTCGAATGGCCACACCATCTCCTCCGCCCCATTTTTGCATACCTCAGTTATATATTGTTGAATCTGAAGAATCGTTGGATCTTTGTGCGATCTTATGTAACCAAACGAGAGCTGGTTGATGACGTTACCTAGGCCGTTCTGAAAAAAGCGAAAAAAATGGTTGATGTTGACCTCCGTTAGCTAACATATGCCTATTCACAATATAATTCGCACACGGTGAAAACTGGAAAACTCCTCACTAGTAGATATGGTCGCAGCTCGATAGCGGCGCCATTAGTTTCTCGAAGTAGATCCACAGTGCGATGAATGAGAGTGGTGATTGTTTTCTAAAATCAGCAATTCTTACGCCATCAGCTATGTCCTATGTAGTAAAGCATCAGCTCTCTATGGCGACCCCTCTTTGTACATTATTGTAAAGCCCGAACACGTAATATGAGGCACATAGCCGACACCAATACCAGCATCGTTTCTCATCAATTCTCTCAGCTAACGAGGCCGAGCTCAACTCGATTATTTGAAGGTAGAACTTATTCGTCTGGTCCGCATTGTGCTGACAGACTTGTTCGCTGATGATGCTGCGGTATGCTAGGCGAATTTGGCTCGGCGCCGAACCATTTTCCATCAATTGCTGTACCATATCTGCTTCAAACAACTGGTGGGGAAGAGACCGGCGCCGCGCTAAAGCCAACCCCCTGGCACGCCGCAGCATCCGCAGTGAACAAGACCGTACATAAGCCGGCTAAGAACAAGATGTCTTGTCCTTGTTTTGACTGATGCTAAGGATTTCTCACTGGATCAGGTCGCAGTGGTAGTCGCGGATGTTTTCCTACTTGTATACAATAGTATTGTCTAATTTGTGTTTTGCTTCTACTGCTTAGTTCTGTTTGTATCACATTTGCATTCAGATGTAATGTAGGCATCTTTGCGTGCATGACAAATAAATAAATAAACAAAGTGTAAGAGTAACTTTACCAGACATATTCACTGGTGAGATGAATTTATCACTGCTTGCAGGTTGATGGTGACCCGACTTCTCAGGAGACTTACAAAGCTTTCCGCAGATGCCAAGGTTCCCAGTGAGCAACATGAACAGCAATCTGCCTATCGCGGCCAGGTATAGAGAACAAACAAAGCTGACAGGGCGAGGAAAAGCAGCATATCTAGCTACAGTTAGGCGTGTACCCGGTCATGCGGCACATTGCCTCTGCATTTTTTCCCCTGTGATTAGGGCTCAAAACGGCATCTATGAAGTTTTCACTACCGGCGCCATTTCAAGTGACGGACTTGTGCAACTGCGGACACGTTCACATCGTACACTGCAAGGACCAAAATCGTCGAGAAATAGCGTGAAGCATATCTTTGAATTGGTTTACACCATTTA